GTGCACTCTCTATGAAAATAAATTAAACTTTAAAAAGAAAAAGAAACACACTACTGAAGGGTAGAGGTAGGGCGGGTAAAAAACAATTTTTTTTTTAATTTTTTCTTTTAATGTTTTATTTATTTCTAGGAGAGAGACAGAGAGACAGCGTGAGCAGGGGAGGGTCAGAGAGAGAGGGAGTCACAGACTGAAACAGGCTCCAGGCTCTGAGCTGGCAGTTAGCACAGAGCCCGACGCGGGGCTCGAACCCACGAACCGTGAGATCATGACCCAAGCGAAAGTCGGGCGCTTAACCGACTAAGCCACCCAGGCGCCCCAAAAAACAAACTATTGATAAACATAATATAGATGGGTCTCAAAATCATTATGCTAAGTGGAAAAAGCCAGATGCAAAAGACTAAATACTGGAGAAAATTCTAGAAAAGACCATAAAGAAAATAAAGTAATGGAAACTCTCATACCATGCTGGAACAGAGTAAAACCATCTTTAAAAAACTTGGCCATTTCTTGCTTTGTTTTTTAAGATTTTATTTTTTTTTTAAGTTTATTTATTTTGAGAGAGAGAGAAAGAGAGATCAGGGGAGGGGCAGAGAAAGAGGGAGAGAGAGAGAATCCCAATATACTGCCTGATGTAGGACTCAAACTCCCAAACCATGAGATCGTTACCTGAACTGAAATCAAGAGTCAAACAATTAACCTACTGAGACACTCAGGTGCCCCTAAAGATTTTATTTTTAAGTAATCTCTATACCCAATGTGGGGCTTGAACTCACAATTCCAAAATCAAGAGTCACACGCTCTAACAACTGAGCCAGCCAGGTGCCCTTGGCCATTTCTTATAAAATCAATCATATACTTTTCTTCTGACCCAGCAATTCTACCTCTAGTATTTATTCAAGAAAATGAAAATATCTGTCCACAGAAAGAATGTGTATAGAAGCTTTATTCATAGTAGCCAAACCTAGAAAACAGTCAATTGTCCATCTACAAGTAAATGGATAAATAAACTGATACAATGGAATAGTTCACAATAAAAGTCAATACATTGTCAGGGCACCTGGGTGGCTCAGTTGTTTAAGCAGCTGACTCTTGCTCTCAGTTCAGGTCATGATCTCATGGTTTGTGAGTTCGAGCCCCAAGTTGGGCCCTATGCTGAGAGCATGAAGCCTACTTGGGATTCTCTTTCTCCCTCTCTCTCTCAAAAGATCAACATCAAAAAAAAAAAAAAAGAAGACGACGACGACGATGACAACGACGACGATGATGGTATGTTTAAAAAAATGATAAAAATATATTGGATGAATGAATGAATGAAGTTGAAACAGGGATTAAGCTAGTATAGAAATGCATTCCATTAGTCCTATACACTTGCAAGAGGAGGGGTTACAGATTTGACATTTAGCTTGTGAGCCACAGAAACAAAGAACAGAAAACAACTCGTTACATGACTGCAGCCAAAAGATCAGAAAAAAATCCGTTCAGTATTTTCACAGCTTTTGGAACTGGGACGTGAGAAAAATTCACTCACTGATCCTCCTGGTAGACAAGATTCTCGACAATACCCTCAGTTTACATGTGGAGTTTCATTCCGCTGTAGTTTAAAAGGTCTTGAGAGGTAACAACAAAATGAAATTCAGTTCAAGCAGTTCTGAGAAGTCATGACACATCTCTAGTGGTCTAGATCATTCTAAGGGCAAGCATTTGATATCCAGGAATGAATGGCGTCAGGACAGATGTCACCTCCTCAGAGGGCTCTTCCAGCTCCTGATGCTGAGCAACTCAAGATGTCGTCACATGACCCCATTTTATTTTCCACATAGCCCTTACCCCTGGTTGGCACTGTTGACGCATTTACTGTCTAATTCTACTGACTAGAATGGTTGCTTCACGTGGATAATGACCTTAGCTTGTTTTTCTCATCATTGTATGCCTAACACGTAGTGGGTGCCCAATAAATACTCTGAATGAGAGAATTCAGAGTATTTCCCACAACCGTTATTTCCGTTATTTCCCACAACCACTCGATGCCAACCACGTCCCTCCAACTCAGGCTAAACAACATGGGGTCACCAAGCACGTAAAGAAAGACCGCAAACTTTGCTGGGCCCACTCTCACTGCCCTGCACCCGTCCCTCAGGAGTGAGCGCTGGCTTCTTAACATTTCCAGAATCAGCCTCTCCTAGCACCTCCCCTGAGTACTCTGGCCCCACCTCATCCTGTCCAGTTTTGCCAGAGCCTCTCGTCAGGTCTTCCTACTCCAACCCTTACCCCTTACTCCTCCCAGGTTATTCGTAATAACACACCAGAGAGAAAGACCCAATTTTGCTGTTCCTCTGCGAACCACCCATGTGGCTCCATCTCACGAGAGTGAAAGCCCAAATCCTCACCAGGGCCTCCCGGGCCTCATGTAAGCGGGAACACTTCCTTTCTAGCCTCTCACCCAACCCCAGCCCCAGGGTGTCTGTGATGCTGTGGAACGTGCCAGACTTTTGCTATGGCCATTCCTCCTGCCTGGAATACTCTTTCCTCAGAAACCAGTTGAGCAAATTCCCTCACCTGCTTCACATCTACTCCAATCTCACCACCCTATTTAAACATGCAGTTCGCCCTCCTCTTAACAGCTCCCACAAGCACACAGGACTGACTATGTGCCAGGGACAGCTCTGAGCCCTTTAGCTTTCTTCCTGGGTCCCCATGCGTCAAAACCATTTTATTTCTGCCCTTCTCCAGCCCAACCCCCGTGTGGCTCCTTCACCAAAACCCTGCATGTTGGTGAAATAATCACTAGCCACCTGCCCAAGTCTTAGTGGCATCTCTCTGGAAGACTAACCACTAGGAACTGCTCCAAACAAAGCTATGTTTTCATCTGCCACCGGGAAGAGGGTGTAACTATCAATATTACAGCTTCCTAAGGGACCGGGGGAGGGGAGGCCTGGTGGGGAATTGCATGCCTCCTGAGCGAACTTTCCTGAAGAATTCTTAGCCAAGGGAGCAACTCTTAACACTTACTGGGACCAGCTATTAGTAAAGATCCTCAGGGGCAAAGCTGGCTACCCTCGCCCCACACGACCCACCTTAAAAGCCTGGCTCTGAGAGCAGTTCTGTAGCCAGAATGGCTGTTCGAGCATATTCTAAAATTTTTTTCTAACATTTATTTATTTTTGAGAGACAGAGCACAAGTGGGGGAGGGGCAGAGAGAGAATGAGACACAGAATCCCAAGCAGGCTCCAGGCTCTGAGCTGTCAGCACAGAGCCCATCGTGGGGTTTGAACTCACAAACCGTGAGATCATGACCTGAGCTGAAGCCGGACGCTTAACCTACTGAGCCACCGGGGTGCCCCTGTCTGTGCATATTCTCAAGCAGAAGACACATCAGAAAGGTGACAGGGAGAACTAAGAAGGCCTTGGGCTTATTCCCAGAACCCAAATACGATTCCCAGTGTTCCCAGCAGTGACGGCAGAGAATCTTCCAGATGCCCTGGACCTATTTCAACACGAGACACCCCTTAGCTTTATCTTCTCAATAAATAAAGATACCTTTTCTTCTTTGGGCTTCACGGTCCTAATTCCTTCTTCTTTCTTCTTGGGCCCCATGTTCCAAAAACATTTTAATCTCTGTTCTTCTCCACTGGGCCATAAAGGCTCCCATCCGCCTCCTCCAATCTGAAATGTAGTGGAATTCTCATGTGACCAGAAGTGAAAATCCCCATGGTTCCTTTCTAATCCTTGTTCAAATTCTATGCCTTCTTTTTGTTTCACTGTATACTTTTTTTTTAATGCTTATTTTTGAGAGAGAGAGAAGGAGAGAGAGAAAGAGAGAGAGAGCAACAGAAACACAGAATCTGAAGCAGGCTCCAGGCTCAGCTCTCAGCACAGAGACTGACACAGGGCTTGAACCCACGAACTGTGAGATCATGACCTGAGTCAAAGTCAGAGGCTTAACCGACTGAGCCGCCCAGGTGCCCCTCACTGTATACTTTCAACAGGTACTAGAACTAAGCTGTTCATCTCACAAAGCAGCATTAATAATCTGTTTTTGTAAAGCAACTTATAGTTGACAGAGTATTTTTTCTTATATTCCTTGGGCCACTTGAGGCAAACAAGATGTCACGTATCTGCCAGAGAAGACACCATTAACAATGAACACTTTTTCTCAGCCTCTGAATTACAGACACAGAGTTGGAACAGAGTGGTGGGGGTAGGGGGGTGGTTTTAAAGTCCATTTGCATTATTGATTTATCACAATTCAGGACAAAGAACTGGACTTTTAACTTTGCAGGAACAAGGTTTTATTTTATTTTTTAAATGTTTATTTATTTATTTAGAGAAAGAGTGAAAGGGGGAAGGGATAGAAAGAGAGGGAGAGAGATCAGGAAGGCTCCACGCTCATAACAGAGCCCAACACAGGGCTCCATCCCATGAATATGAGATCATGACCTGAGCCGAAATCAAGAGTCGGCACTTAACTGCGCCATCCCCAGGTGCTCCAAGATTTTATTTATTGTATTTTTTATTGTGCTCACTTCGACAGCACATGTTTTATTTTTTATTATCTTTTTTTCTAAGTTTATTTATTTTGGGGGGGGGTGAAGAGCAGAGAGAGAGAGAGAGAGAGAGAGAGAGAGAGAGAATCCCAAACAGACTTCCCACTGTTAGCGCAGAGTCCCACACAGGGCTTGATCCCACAACCACAAGATCATGGCCTGCACAGAAATCGAGTCAGATGCTTAACTGACTCAGTCACCCAGATGCCCCTATTATCTTTTTCAGTGTGGGGCTTGAACTCATGACCCTGAGATCAAGAGTCGCATACTCTACCAACTGAGCCAGCCAGACGCCCCAGGAACATTTTATATGTCTCCTGTGTGTTCTCTGTATTGTCTTTCAATAGGCACATGGTCAATACTCAGTAAAATATTTCTTTTTACTTCACTGAATGGGTAGCGCTGCTAATGGGATACTTAAACTTGTTTATGGGCTTCTGGATACATTTTTTTCCACATCAGACACGTAATGTGCCAGTGCCATATAAGGTTTGAGGGAAGTACATCTCACACAGTAACAGCATAGACTACCAGTCACCACGTCCACGAACCACAAAAGGATCTACAAATAAATTTTTACTAGACTTCCAATTTTTAGAGCAGTTTTAGGTGGAAAGAGGGGCGCCTGGTTGGCTCAGTCTGTGAAGCGTCCCACTTTAGCTCAGGTCCGTGAGTTCGAGCCCCATGTTGGGCTCTGTGCGGACAGCTCAGAGGCTGGAACCTGCTTTGGATTCTGTGTCTGCCCGCCCCCCCCCACCCGCTCCTCCCCTGCTCACTCTGTCTCTCAAAAATAAATAAATGTGAAAAAAAAATTGTTGAAAATAATAATAGAGTGGAAAGTACAGAGATTTACCTACATTCATGGTGTCCCCCACTATCGACGTGCCCCACCAGAGCAGTACATTTGGTACAACTGATGAACCTACCAGAACAAATCATTACCATCCTAACTCCAGAGTTTAATTAGGATTTACCCCTGGTGTTGTACATTCTCTGCATTTAGGCAAACATATGACATGTACCCACCTTTACACGTGACATTTTCACTCCCTTAAAAATCCTCTGTGCCCTTGTCTCTTCATCTCGCCCTCCCCCTGGCCCCTGGCAACCACTGCTCTTTTACTGTCTCCATAGACACGTCTCCATGTCTCCAGCACGTAGTCTTTTCAGACTGGCTTCTTTCACTTAGTTATATACATTCAAGCTTCCTCCATGTCTTTTCATGGCTTGATAGCACATTTCTTTTTAGCACTGAACAATAGGCCATTGTCTGGATGGACCACAGTTTATTTCCCCATTCACCTTTTGGCAACTATGAAGAAAGCCACTTATGAACATCCATGTGTAAGTTTTCGTGCGGATGTTAAGTTTTCAACTCCTTTGAGTAGACACCAAGAAGTACAATTGCCAGATGGTATGCTTAGGTTATGCTTAGTTTTGTTAGAAACCATCAAAATGTCTTCCAAAGTGGCTGTACCATTTTGCATTCCCAGTACCAGCAAATGAAAGTTACTGCTGTTCCATATCCTCACCAGCTTTGTCGTCAGTATTCTACACGTTGGCGATTTCAATAGGTGTACACTGGCATCTCATTGTTGTTTTAATTTGCATTTCATTGGTGTTACACGATGTAGGGCATCTTTTCAATGCTTACTCACCATCTGTTCCATGTCTATTAATATCTTTGGCCCACTTTTTTTTTTTTTTTTAATATTTTTTATTTATTTCTAGGAGAGAGAGAGAGAGAGCGTGAGCAGAGGAGGGTCAGAGAGAGAGGGAGCCACAGACTGAAACAGGCTCCAGGCCCTGAGCTGGCAGTCAGCACAGAGCCCGATGCGGGGCTCGAACCCACGAACCACGAGACCATGACCTAAGCGAAAGTTGGACGCTCAACCGACTAAGCCACCCAGGCGCCCCACTTTGGCCCACTTTTTAAATCACGTTGGCTTCTTATCGTTGCATTTTAAGAGTTTTTTGTATACGGTGGATCCTGGTCCTTGATCAGATATGTCCTTTGCAAATATTTTCTCCCAGTCTGGCTCTTGATTCTCTTGACAATGTCCTTTGTAGAGCAAAAATCTTTAATTTTAATGAAGCCCAGTTTATCAGTTATTTCTTTCATGGATCACACCTTTGTTGTATCTAAAAAGTCATCACGGGACGCCTGGGTGGCTCAGTCGGTTAAGCGTCCGACTTTGCCTCAGGTCATGATCCCATGGTTTGTGGGTTCGAGCCCCGTGTCAGGCTCTGGGCTGACAGCTGGCTCAGAGCCTGGAGCCTGCTTCAGATTCTGTGTCTCCCTCTCTCTCTCTCTGACCTTCCACTGCTCATGCTGTCTCTCTCTCTCAGAAATAAACAAAACATTTAAAAAATTTTTTTTAATAAATAAATAAAAAGTCCTCACCACAGGGCACCTGGCTGGCTCAGTGGGTAGAACATGGAACTCTTGATCTTGGGGTTATAAGTTCAAGCCCTGCAATGGGTATAGAGATTACTTTAAAAAAAAAAAAAATCTTGGGGCACCTGGGTGGCTCAGTTGGTTAAGTATCCGACTCTTGATTTTGGCTAGGTCATGATGTCACAGTTGTGAGACCGATCTGTGCTATTAGTGCAGAGCCTGCTTGGGATTCTCTCTCTCTCCTTCTCTCTCTAACCCTCCCTTGCTCGTGTGCTTACTTTCTTTCACTCTTTCTCAAAAAATAAGAAACAAAAAGTTAAAAGTCATCACCATCTCCATGAGCATCCAGATTTTACCCTATGTTACCTCCTAGGAGTTATTTTATAGTTTTGTGATTTACATTTAGGTCTATGATCCATTTTGAGTTAAATTTTGTCAAGAATTGGGATGCCTGGGTGGCTCAGCCAGTTAAGTGTCTGATTCTTGATCTCAGCTCAGGTCATGATCTCAAGGTTCGTGGGTTCAAGCCCCGCATCAGGCCCTGTGCTAATGTGCAGAGCCTGCTTGAGATTCTAGCTCTCCTTCTCTCTGCCCCTCCCCTGCTTGGGCTCGCTCGCTCTCGCTCTCTCTCAAAATAAATAAACTCAAGAAAAATTTAAAAACTAATTTGTCAAGGATATATGGCCTATGTCTGGATTGATTTTTTTTTTTTTTTTGCATATAGATGCCTAATTGTTCCACACCATTTGTTGAAAAGACTACCTTTGCTCCATTGTATTGTTTTTTCTCCTTGGTCAAGGAGTCGACTATTTTTACGTGGTCTATTTCTGGGCTCTCCATTCTGTTCCACTGACCCATTTGTCTATTCCTCACCAATACCATATTGGCTTGATTACTGTAGCTTTATAAGAAGTCTTGAAATTGGGTAGTATCAGTTCTCTTGAGATAGGGAAACCAAAAGACTCCATAAAACTCTGCTTTTAGCGGGGCATGTGGGTGGCTCACTCAGTTAAGCGTCCAACTTCAGCTCAGGTCATGATCTCACAATTCATGGGTTCGAGCCCTGCGTCAGGCTCTGTGCTGACGGCTCTCAGAGCCTGGAGCCTGTTTCAGATTCTGTATCTCCCTCTCTCTCTGACCCTCCCCTGTTCATGCTGTCTCTTTCTCTCTCAGAAATAAATAAAACATTAAAACAATTTTAATTTTTTAATCTGCTTTTTACTTCTTTACTCACTTCCAATCTTGCCAGGACCTGCACCTCCACTTTACACAAGCTTCATAATGCAAATAGTGTACAACTTCCTTGTAAGGGACGAGGAGTTGATGATTTCTTTAGAACAGACAACATCTAAAGGAGGACCAGTTGAGAACGAACAACAGAGCCATCATATGGCACTAGACATCTCAACGCCAAAAACCTCTGGCGCCAAGGAGTAACACTTGAGCCTTTGTCTTTGTTCTAACAGGTTCCTCGATGCCTGAGAGGACACGTACACCAGACTATAATCCTCAGTCAAAACCCCAGATCCTGAGTAAAGATGAGACTCTCTCTCCTTTCCCTTCTCAGTCTCCCTGACACTGTACGTGCACTCTCTCTCTACCTTCACTAAACTTCTCCCGCCTCCTGCTGGCTGACATCGATTTATTTATTTATTTATTTATTTATTTATTTATTTTTGGAGAGAGAAATAGAGACAGCATGAGCAGGGGAGGGTCAGAGAGAGAGGAAGACATAGAATCTGAAACAGGCTCCAGGCTCTGAGCTGTCAGCACACAGCCCCAACGCGGGGCTCGAACCCACGAACGGTGAGATCACGACCTGAGCCGAAATCGGATGCTTAACCAACTGAGCCACCCAGAGGCCCCTGGCTGGCATCGATTTCTATCCTGTGAGCAGTGAGGGACCTTCTCAGCTGGTCCTGTGGGAACCCCTCTGGATCCTCGGACCTAGTCTGCCTGCATCACTCTGACTTTGCTCTTTTTTTTTTATGTTTGTTTATTTTTGACAGAAAGAGACAGAGTATGAGGGGGAGGAGCAGAGAGAGAGGGAGACACAGAATCTGAGCTGTCAGCACAGAGCCTGACGAGGGGCTTGAACCCAGGAACCATGAGATCATGACCTGAGCCGAAGCCGGATGCTTAACTGACTGAGCCACCTGGGTGTCCCTTTGTTCTTTTTCAGTATTGAGTTGGTTATTCTTTTTGCCTCTACATACAAACTTGAGAATCTGTTACCATCCACAGAAGAACTTGCGGGATCTTGATTGGGATTGAATTGAATCTATAGATCAAGTTGAAAAGAATGGACATCTTAAGAATATTGAGTCTTTCCATCCATAAATATGAAATAGCTCTCCATTTAATTCTTTAAAATCTTTCATGAGTTTCGCAGTTTTCCTCATACAGATCTTATACAATATAAATTTTTTAAATGCAATTGATGTACTCAATACGGAGTTTGTCCATGTAATTGCTATCTGTCTTTGAGGTCAGAGCCATGTGTGTTTTTAAGTAGCAGATGGCCATGACAACATCTGCAGGTATGGGTATGGGAAATGCTGGTGAAGAGGAAGAGAATCTGATGGATTCCCTTAGAATCTGGATTCTAGTCCCAGCTCAGCCACTAACTTGCTCTAGGACCTCTAGCAAAAGATTTCTTTTTCCAGGACTTAATGAAGGGGTTAGGCTAGATCAATGGATCCCAAAACTGACTCAGGGCTTGATTCCCAAATATTTTCTTTTCAATAGGGTCTCAGGTGGGACCTGGAGAAATATGATTAAAATCTGCCCCTGGTGTTTCTGACTTGTTTGCAGTAAAGGCTCCCAATTTTTCACAATTCATGGTGCATCCAGTGTTTCAGTAATTGTTTCATGACCCCCTAGGCCTATAGAAATACCTAACGGTTCTGTTCATTAAGTAGATAAGCCCAAACAAACTCAGTATTTCTGTCCTGAGAACTGAATGCCTGTTTGGCACAGCGCGCCTCCTCAAGCCTTGGAATCAGGAATCATTTCCAGTTCCACGTTAATCGATGCACAATATCTTCAAACTCAGCTTTGCAGCGCTGAGACAGCACTTGCAGGAACGTAGTGTGAGCTCCTGCCAAAACAGCCTCAAGCCGGCAGCTTTGTGAAGCACAGGACAGATGTCACTTGTGTTATGG